GATGGATCGCAATTCTGCACCAAAACGCCACGACGAGAGTTCAGGTCAAGGGAATGCTGACTCCTGAAATACATCTGCAAAGATCAGTCCGCCAAGGGGACCTGCTAGCCCCCTTCCTCTTCCTTATCGTAATGGAAGCGCTGGCCGTGAACCTCTGCACAAACAAGGACCTGCGAAAGCTCCAGATTTCTGCCATCCCAGAAAAAGCCATTCCGGTCTGCTCTATGTTCGCAGATGACCTGACTGTCATGTTGGGTGCTTCCCCTGCAAATATGGAAGAGATAAGAAACCTCATGGAGCGGTTCACGGCACTGTCCGACATGACAGTCAATTGGGGTTCCAAGACCTTGGGGTGGTGGATTCACCACCAAGGGGTGTGCCCTCCCGAGCAGCCGCAGCTTAAATGGCTACCCATGGAGGCTCCGATATGGGTTTTGGGCATCATGATGACTGCCTTTGGCAGGCCATCCTCAAATGATGACTGGATCTTGAAACACACGCTAGAAAAGATCGCCCACTGGAATGACAAGCGGACATCGCTGATGGGCAGAACCTTGGCCATCAACAATGTGGTGTTGGCCTCACTATGGTACAAATCTGCGATATGGGCCCTCAACAAAGAAGCTGTCAAAGCATTGAAGAGACAGATTAATGCGCTGCTCTGGAGGAGGACAACACTCTTTCTAATGTGATCACTAGAGTCGCCTGGCTGGTTGTTATTCAACCTAGAGACGAAAGGGGTCTAGGAATTCTGGACCCGGCTATTCAGGTTATGGTATTGACGGTCCAATGGATCAAGCGGCTGCTATTCACCCCTTATTCACCACATCACGGATCGATACGGGAGGGTATACTGTAGTTCGCCCCCCCCGTGGAACAGTTGGGTCAAAAGGGGGGTGATAAGAATCAAGGACATATGGGACGTGGAAGAAAAGGACTGACAAACAGAACAAAAGCTGAAACCTTTTCTAAAACATTGCCATCACGTGGGGACGAACCTGGAGGAATTAATCTTTTCAATACCCTTGGATTGGGTGCGCATCTTACGCAAAGGACCATGTCTACAAGAAGGAGACTGGATGGCTATCCCGGATGATCCAGAAAGCGTGGGGAATGTGGTGGTGGTACACATCCAGGAAGCATTGGTGAATCTTTTTCATCGGGAACATGACAATAGACTAAAGAGGTACCACCTGGATGTGCTGAAATGGTGGAAAAAGACAGATTTGCACCGCATCCGGGTACTCCATTCGCAAGAGGACTGGTTCACTTTCTTCCCTGAAACCCCGCTTGCCAACCTCCCTTTCGGTCCGGAGGAATGGCAATTGGAAGCCGACAATAAAAACGGGGGTAAACATAACTTTTTTCACCTTATCAGTGAAATCTGCCTACCGCCTCCTGAGACCAAAGGTAAATGTGAAAAAACTTGTGAGAGAGCGATGGATAACCCATCTGAATGTTGGAAGGGACGCAGTTCGACCCATCCGGTGGTTCAAGGCCACGAGATCAAAACCGGCAAAATTGGCTTCGTTGCAGTGGCAGATAGAACACGGATGGCTCTCAACCAATAACTGGCTAATAGATCGAACATACCTAGAACAAAAGGGCTTAGCGCCACCATGGTGTCACTCCTGTTTGACCTCCTTCCCCCACCGAAAGATCGCGGAAACCATAGAGCATATCTTTTTGCAATGCCCGGGGGAGGTTCTGCCATGGCGATGGTGGGACAGGATCTGGCGACAGCTTGGCACTATATCCACATGGCCATGGGACTGGAGAGCTCTCTTATGTGAAGCCTGGTCTTCTCCCACGGACTGTCCTTCTGAAAATAACATGTTTACGACTGGGAGGAGAGCTATCATTTGGCCCCTTTGGCAAAAAAGGTGCATACTCGCAATTGAAGGCGTCAAGATAGAGGAGGAAGAGATCACCGAAATGGTTAAGCGATATGTTCAGGAAGAACTCATGGTACAATGGCAAAGTGTGAAAGCAAAACTGAATCTGTTTCAAACGAAAAAAGACATAATGCAAGTTATCCGTCAGTTCTCCAGGGAATGGTTGGGGAGGGAGGGCAAGATAGCCCACATTTGTTGGGAGGGAGGACAGTCTTTGGAAAAGGGTGAAGATGTGCTCAGAAAAGACTATGGTATCTGTTTAGTGATTGGACCAAGGTCGATGACGCGGTTCTTCTGCGCCCTCCTTCTGATTTTCCTGACCTCTTTCCACCCCTTGGACTCTCCATCGTAGTGGTACGGAGCTTAGCTGTTTGGGGATCTTCAATAGGCAGATCTACGTCATGATAGAAGGTATGTAGGAGAACATCTCTATCTCTGACAGCAGGTGCTGCTCCCCACCAATAGATGGAGTCTTGCGAGAATGCTAGGAGCGCCCGGAGGTTAAAAAAGGGGGAGTTGCTAGTATAGTTTCAGTATGGCTCAGGGGGAGGTAGGAATTAGCGTTTAACTGTGTATCCGGCGCCGAATGCAAGGTGACGAGGTTCCCCCTTCCTTCCAATATCCTGCTCAGTCAATCCCCTGGACTCCTGGACTCCAGGGCAATCAATGCTGGCAGGAACACTCCATAACTTCTTTCTGATGTATTTCAAACTCAGTCTGTATAAGGGACGCTGGCTTTCCAGCAGGTGATGCTCCCCACCAATAGATGGAGCCTCTCCCCAGGTGCTAGTGGTGTCTGCACTTATCAGCACCACTAACACTGGTGGGGGCGTTTAATTAAAACAAAAAAAAAAACACCCTAAACCGCGTTCAAGTTAACGCCTCACGATTTTCGGGAGCTTCGCGGCCGTTCCGCGATTTGACATCTGCGGCCAACGTCGCGGCACGGGCCTCCGAAAGTCGCAGGGAGAAAGTTGCAGCCATACAACCGGTAGGTACTGGTGGTTTAAATAAGAGAGAGTCTATAGGGATATTGACATCCATACAGCCTAATTCGAAAGCGAAGACTGCAAAACTAACAGTGGCTTCTCTGTCTATGTGTTGTCATGTTTGCTGTGGACAACTGAATGCACAACAACAACAACAACAAAAAACAAACAAACAAAAAAAAAAAAACACTTTAAAAAAGCACGACTGTGCCAGACTGTTTTGTCGGACTTTCACTGACTCATCAGGAGGGTGTATACTTGTGTGTTTGAGTGTACAAAAGTTTTGGCGATAGCATCGCAGCATGCTGCATCAACAAAGTGCACCGGTACGGAACCCAAAACAGACCCTTCTCCCAGCATGGAGTTTACTAAGGAGAGGAAGTAATCAGAGACCCAGCGTTCTAGTGAATTAAACCACCAGTACTTGGCACAGCTATCGAGATGCCGAGCCTGAAAACGGGTTGCGCTCCGTTTTGCGCCGACCCGCCAGCGCAACAGGGAAAAATTGTTTTGGCTGTGAGTGCCAGTACCCCGAGCTACGGGGCGTTAACGACAACACCCCGCGGTCGATGTATGGGCCAAATACCGGTGGTTTAAAGGTAATACGAGCAAGGGTCATCAGCTTAAAACACACCACTCACTTTGGCAAAAGGATTATTAATACCCAACAAGGAAGACATACAAACATTCAAATTTCAAACTGTACACAAACCAAAAGAGCGAAGGAACAACGGCACAAGTTACCAAAAACAACAAAAGTGAAAAAAAAAAAAAAACGATGATGATAGATTGTTTCGTCGGACTTGCACCAACTCGTCAGGAGGCAGAACCCTCAACAATCTGCAGAATCTCCTCATTGATGCTTCGAGTCGTGAACCCTTCGACTCCTGTTCAAAAGCGAACGGACTGCGGCACAAGCAGCAAAACAATGAGGCAGCAAGGCAACAATGCAGCACTGACAACACAGTCAAACTACAAGGCAAACTGGTCGGATAGGCAACTGGGCAGCAGCGCAGCAAAGCACAAGTAAGAGCTTCGCATGGAACGACAAGGTAGGTGGATGGACAGCAAGGCAACTGCGCAGCGAAGCGCAAGGCAACTGCGCAGCGAAGCGCAAGGCAGTGCTAAGAAAGAAGCCACAAACTGTACGACGAACGAAAGCTGCAAGAGACAACCTGGGAAGCAAGGGAGATGGGTGTCAAGGCAGCAGAGAAGCGCAGACACAGCATCCCAGATATCCAACAAGGACCAGTCCTGCAC